ATTCACGAATCCCAGAGCGACATATCAGCCAGTGGACTCCCCTAACTCCTTGTGACATATCAGCCAGTGGACTCCCCTAACTCCCTGTGACAACTCCAAGCCTTGGTTTGAGAGGTATTTCCGAAGACAGCACAACGAGTCTAGAAAGGTATGAGCATCCAAGGACTCCAGTCGGACTCAATAATCGGATGTCTGCTCCGACTCGGTATGGTTGTCCTTAGATCCTTCGGCTTTTTCCTTCTCGGCGGCTTCGATGGCCGCAAGAGTAGTCGACTCACCGCTCGGGGGAACTTGGCGGGCCAGCAAAGAACCTTCAAGAGCATTCCATTTCTCGGCGAACTTGCCAAGGGCATAGAAAGTGTGGTAAAGCTGGAAGCACTGCTCAGTTCTCAACGAGGCCGGTATCTCGCCCTTCTCTAGCACAGTCGTGAGGAAGCGCTTGCGAATGTCGAGGAAGTTGTCAATGAACTGTTGGATGGTGACGTGAATATCGTCGGGCATGCCCTGGCCATCGTCCACAGCACCGCCGATCAGTCGGTCATTCATACGCCCACCAGAGACTCTGAGAGCCTCCGAAAACTGGGAGACCTTCTTCCACATCGGGCGCAGGAATCTCGAGAACTGATTGAAGGAATCGCTGTCACCAAGGATTGGGTGACTAGCGAGGGAAGTGACGAGCACAGAGTTGTACAAGCTGACACTATACTTCACGACCTGGACGATGGATTCTTTCTCCCTCAACACGGTCTTACTGACCCTCGAAACCGCGTGAGGTATCTTACCGTAGACAACGACTTCAGATTTAGCATCAGCGGCTAAACTGTGCATAGTTGTAACGTTCTTGAAGATGCCAAGATTCAGGACAACCTCCTCGCTGTAAAGACTGCTGCTTTCGCTGCTGCTGCTGCTGCTGCTTGCGTCTGTCACCATCCATCGGCGGCCAATAGATTCCGAAGCGGCGCTCTTCGTGCGAGCCATATCGTCCAAGGACTTGCTCAACTTCTTAGAAATCTCCACCAGCGTGTCAGCCGATATTCTCCTGAGCTTCCTAGAGGCCATATCAGGGAAGAAGCACGCCGAGAAAAAAGTCGTGGCCAGAGTGCCGCCGAACGTGAAAATAAATCGCCACGCTGCCTGCTTCATCATAGTATCATCGCTGAGGGGAGCGTGCACCGAGCTGAAGCCGACAATGTGCCAGGTAAGCGAGTACATCCACCCAGCATACCAGATGGGTTCGTACAGGCTTACCAGCTTAGCGCTGAACATGAGCAAGAGAAGCTCACAAAACCAAGCAGGCTTATTATGAGGATTGATGGCAACACAGACAATCGCCATACAGGCTCCAAGAAAGGTGCCGATAATACGATAGTTGCCTTTAACGAGGGTGGCACCAGCAGTTGGCATGAAACACACGAAGGTAGGGATGACCGACCAGAAACCGTGAAAGGCGACGTTGTTGCTGTAAGCAGTACCGATAACCATTGGAAGACAGATGAAGAGATAGCAACACTGCTGACGAATAGGATACTGGAACCTCTCCCAGAGAGTATGGCTCCCTGCATTATCATTCCAAAAGGGTTTCTTCCACCATCTAACTACTGCTCCGACTAGCTTCTTCGATAGACGGGTAATGGTCATACTCGTCGTCTCCTGAAGAAGGAGGACCAGATGATTCAGGTATTGCCAGCTACATGGCCTCGAAAATTGCACGATTCCATCATAGTAAACTTACGGCGTTTTGCAGTTTCTTTTGCCTGGTAGCCTCGATAATCTCCTCAATTAGCGCCTTGCGGAAAGTCTCCGTAAGGATAGCAACATAAATCATCGTGCCCACAGCATAATGGAATCTGAGTAGCTCCGAGGCCGAGGGAGGCTCAATGTGTCCCCTAGCGCATTCAGCATTGCTCTCCGCGATGCATTTAAGGAGGTAACTCTGGCATCGTCTTGCTCGGTCGTCGAGATCATAACAGCCGACTTCTGCGTTGCCGTTGGCACAGTCACGAAGGGCTTGGGAAACTGCTATACGGAGATGGGTGAATTCAGCACAGAATGGTTTCCAAACATAGTCAATCATGGCTTGGCTAAATTCCCCTTCGGCAAGGCAATCTCGTAGAGAGTCAAGTTCGCTTGATATGGTGAAGGCTGTCGCCTGGATCTTGGGAGGAAGGGCCACGCTGACCAGTTTTTCAACTGCCACGTCAAGATCGTTGTAGTAAGCGGCAGAGGCTTCACATCCAAACGTGACATCGGGAAAGCGGCCGCTTTCGTGTTCAAAGACGTTAGCAACTGCATCGGCGAATTGAGAAATGGGACTGGGGCCTTGTTGGGGAAGGAGATGAGTGACTTTCAGTATGGTCACGACACTGCACATGACGACAAAACCGAACGTGGCCCAAATGCCCGCCACGGCCAGGGCCATATACAAATCACCCGGTGGGTAGAACATACCACCCAGTGTTGCAGTGACGAAGATACCCTCAGGCATAATCCAATCGTTCAGCTTGGTGTTGGTTGGTTTGAATGCGAGGGCCCAAAACCAGGACTCGGGCAAGAAGAGCAAGAATGACCATAGGCGACACCACGGACCATCGTCAATAGCACTGGCGATGACGTGTATCAAACAGGCGTTACCAATACCAATCCAGAGACCGAGAATGCCCTTCACGGACATCACCATGAGGACCTCCCAGTTGAGCATGAACATAGTAGCGCAGTACGGTGCGAGGAACTGAAGAGAGGAGGAGCAATAGACAGCATTCCTAGTGCAGGGACAACACTCTGGTACTCTAGCTACAATATGTTTCGAGCATCAGTAGAACGCCAATACTGTCATAAGAGTTTACTAGCCTCTCCTAGTACTAACATGACGAAAAGAATCAAAGCAAAGAATGAATGGCGACGATCAGCTTACCCCGATAGTCGCATAGAGCTGATTCTTGGCGGGGTTGAAAAAGTAGGGAAAAGATGCGATTGCAGCACAGATCATGGCGAAGAATGCCGTCCATAGTTTATAAGCCGACACCGAAGGTTGGGGGATGGGGTAAGTCATATTGTGTAGTAATGTTCAACCTGCTCACAGAGGACATCACACTTTGCACAGTTCCCCTGTTTACGAGGGACAGCACGCTTTGCGAAGGTCTCCCGTTTACGAGGGACAGCACGCTTAGCGAAGGTCCCCTGTTTACGAGGGACAGCACGCTCTGCGAAGGTCTCCCGTTTACGAGGGACAGCACGCTTTGCACAGTTCCGTCCCTGAGTAGCTTTCATATCACAAATAGCAATCGCTAAGGACCAACTTTATCACACAAAATAAGTATGCACGAGACTCACATAAACATAGTTCTTTCACGGTTAAGTGGTACAATATTAAGCCGCCTCTCTCCACACCCACGTTCTGATCACACACGGTATATGTTTCCCATGTCAAACGAATTAAACCGTTTTGTTTTTGTTATCAAAGACATCGTAAGCTGACGTGTGTGTACCGCATACCTATACAGGTGTCCCCAACAACAACAACAGCTCTTCCACTGCCACCACCCTCTGAGCTTGCCCTCCAACCTGTGAAGGACACTGTGATCGATGGATTGGGTGAGGGTAGAGCAATAATGGAGGGTAGGGGTAGTAGTAACCAACAGCGAACGAGATATACTTGGTCTATTCGGCCGGATTCGCATGCGATTAGTAACGATGATGCCTCTTAGTCCTCTTGTATCGATAGTTATATGGAGGTGTCGAGAGATGAAGGGGAGATGAAGAAAGATCTCTTCGTAGCAAGGCACAAGAGGATATTAAGTAGGACATCAAGTAGCCTGGTATGGGGTCTAGTCAGAGGATAGGTCATCATTCTATGCTAATCGAGTAGTCAAGATGGAAGAGAACAAAAAGGGTCAACTCAAGGCTGGGGAGGAACGACTTGATCGTATGAATCGATTATATAACACCGCTGCTTGTAAGTAATCATGCCGGCGGCATGCACTTCTACGACGCTCATAACAGCATATCACACTGCTCGGGGTGTATATAACTCTGTCTTTTATGCCAGCCCATGGAGTGTCGTAGCCAATCGTTCAAACTTCTACAAGGACCCCCTCACCGGTGAATCGAGTGAGAGAGTAGTGCGGGAGAGCCAGAAGGAAGAAGGGAACCTGTCACGGATGAGGCTGTTTTCCAGGATCTGAGGAAGAATCGTATAAACCCTAGTCAAGCCGTCACGGTAGCAAATGTCAGTGCATAATCGGGTAGGGTCTCTGGGGCTGCTTTTATCGGTCTGAGATGACAGTATTTCTAAACGCTAGAGTATATGTTGTTATGTTCAGTAGTCCAGTAGTCATCATCATGCGTGGGGTCACTCACTCATTACTGACATATGCTTATTATAGTGCTCATCATCTCAGATCATCATCATTCATCTGTATAAGCGTGCGAAGATATTGAAGGGAGAGTCTTTCGAGTATGAGCAGCAGTCGTGGGATGTTCAAGACTTGAGCTGTTGTCGTACTCAATTATCGAGACCCATATCAAGAAGAAGAGAATAGGTGCTCGTGCAATGATCCGATTGCCTAGTCGAATGTCTGAGCATCAGTCTTAGAGCATCTAAGGAGGCTTTCAATGAACGATAGAGATGATTAACTCGCATGCTTCATGGTTGGTTGGGATGTACACAACTGTGATCTATGATACTCATGGTTCTCCACCTATACACATGGTCACTCTCTTCAGGGTTGAGGACCTCAACTTGAGGATTAATCTTTCGGGACCAAGTATGATCGTATAGGGAGTACTTCTCACCCTCGTACTCTGCAAACGATTACTCCAATGGTTTGTTGAGTTTGCAGCCGGAAATCACAAGAATTCTTAACAAATGCAATAGCCTGACTCGAACACGATATCTTAACAATCACAACAAGCGGCATTAATCATGATGACACTGACAACAACCATAACAGCATACAACATCACAATGAATCTATACCCAATTATCCTCGTCCCCTGATGAGAGTAGTCCATGAGACAGGCGATGATGCATGCACAACCTACATCAAGCGTTCCCTTTCCTCGTCACCGTCATCAGTAGTCGAGCTATTTCCTCCACCAATAAGGCTAACGACTGTTGACGCAGCCAGAAGCACAAATACGATCTGAAAGGGTTATGAACTGTACAAGTTACTGTTAATCAAAACATACCCAGGAAGCGGCGCACAGCCACTGGACTAATTGTCCTATCTCCCAGCTAAGCTGGGCATTCAGCCGACACCAAAGTCCGTCCTAAGGCAGTATTAAGGCGATAGGAGATGCATCGATTAACCCTACGGCTTGACTTAAGGATGGTGTATCAGACATACAGTACTCCCACTCCTCGAGGTGTTGAACGGTCTCGGGCTCTCGAGCTAAGCGAATCAGCTCACGGAAGGTCTAAGGGAAAGAGGAACTCCCTGGCCTACTAGATGGAGGAAGACTCTACCTGGAACTCCTTGCAGTAGGGTCTTATGAACATCTTAGTGGCCTTATCATAGCCACCATCACGACACTCACCCTCACTATACGATCTGGTGAATGAGTTGAAAAGGTCATCTACCAGATCCTGGGCGTAACGATCTCTAGATGGCACCAAGGTGATCTCCCCCCGATCGAGTCTTAGCTTATAGAATGTGATAGACCAATGACAGAGGGCCACGGCAATGACCAACCAACATACGGTCATGATGGCAGAGAACCCACCATGGAGGAAGCGGAATGAGTCGGCTTTAGTGTTCGCAGCAGCAAAGCTAATACCAGACAGGCTGAGCATGAGGATTAGGACCGAGCTGATGGTGGTGGAGT